GAACTAATAATGTGTTTAGCAAGATTTCAGGATGTAAGACCAACATAAAAATACATTGTATTTCTCTACGCTAGCAATGAAGGTTTAGAAATTGAAATTTTAAAAATCACTATTTACATTTGCTTGGAAAAATATAAAGATGAAGGCTAACTCTGATTAAAGATATGCAAGACCCACACATTGCAAACTACAATACACTGCTGAAAGAAATTAAAGAAGACTTAAATAAATGAAAAGATACTGTGTCATGGGTCAGAAGACTCAAAATGCTTAAGACATCAATTTTCTCCAAATTGATCTGTGGATTCAATGCAATACCAACTAAGATCCCAGAGGATTGTTTTGTAGGGTTTTTTCATTTTTTGTTTTTATTTTTTCTGTAGATATTGACAAGCTGGTTCAATCCAAATAAACTAGAAAAGTCAAAAATCTGAGAAAGAATAAAGTAGGAGGACTTACCCTATCCAACTTCAAGACTCACTATAAGGTTAGAGTTATCAAGACAATGTGATTTTGGCATTAAGATAGAAAAATAGATGAATGGAATAGAATGGAGTCCAGAAACAAACCCACACATTTATGTTCAAGTGATTTTCAACAAAGATCAAAGGAAATTTGGTATAATAAGGATAGTCTTTACAATGGTGCCTGAAAAACTGAAAACCTGTATTAGTTTCTATGACTCAAATAGCAAATTACCACAAACTTAGTGGCTTAAAACAACACACATTTTATTATCTTATAGTTGTGGAAGTCAAAGGTCCATAACAGGTCTCACTGGGCTAAAATTGAGGTATTAAAAGGGATTCCTATTCTTTCTAGAGGTTCTAGGGGAGAACTGTTTCCTTGCTTTTCCCATCTTCTAGAAGGCTTTTTTTTTTTTTTTTTTTTTTTTTTTTGGCTTATGTCTCCCTTCTTCCATCTTCAAAACCAACAATATAGGCCAATTCCATTCTACACTGCCATTTCTCTGGTTCTCTTTCAGTCCCCCTCTCCCACTCTTAAAGACCCTTGTGATTACATAGGGCCCGCCCAGATAAATCTAAGATAATCTCCCTATTTTAAGGTCATCTGATTACCAATCTTAATTGCATATGAAACCTTAATTCCCATTTGCAATGTAACATAACATATCCACAGGTTCTGGGGGCCAGGACATAGACATCTTTGGGGAAAGGCATTATTCTGCCTACATAATATCCATATGCAAAAAGAAAATAAACTTAGATCAATATCTCACACAAATTAACTCAAAATGGATCATAGACCTAAATGTAAAGTCTAACACTATAAAATTTCTTGAAGACATTGAAGAAAATCTTTGTGACCTTAGAGTAGGCAAAGATTTCTCAGATATGACACCTAAGGCATAATCTCTAAAAGAAAAAACTATAAACTTGTAATTATGAAATTTCAACAAAATTAAGAAGTTCTACTCTTTAAAAGATATTAAGATAATGAAAAGACAAGCCATCAGAGAAAATATTTGAAAATCACATATCTGATGAAGGACTATCTCTGGAATACATAAAGAACCCTCAAATTTTTTAAATAAGAAAACAACCCAATTTTTAAAAATTGGGCAAAAGATCTGAATAGAAACCCATATTCGCAGATACATGGATGGCAAATAAACACTTGAGAAAATATTCAACATCATTCGTCATTAGGGATATACAAATTTCCAAACCACAATGAGATACCACAATCTATTAAAATGTCTCAAATTAAAAAGACTTGCTCATCTCCAGTGTTGGTGAAAATGTGAAACAACTGGAGCTCTCCTGCACTTCTGGTGGAATGTAAAAGGATGCAACCACTTCAGAAAACAGTTTGACAGTTTATTAAATAGTTAAACATGCACCTGCCGTATGACTCAATCATTCTTGGTATTTACCCAAGAGAAACAAAAGCATATATCATGCAAAGACTTGTACACAAATGCTCATAACTGCTTTATTTATAATAGCCAAAATCTGGAAGCAATCCAAAAATCCATTAACAAGCGATAGGATAAACGAATTACCATATATACACACGATGGACTACTACTCGGTAATAAAAAGAAATGAATTATTGCTATACCAATAATATGTGGATGAAATTCAAACTAATTATGCTGAGTGAAAGAAGTCAGACCAAAAAAAAAGCACATACTAAATTATTCCATTTATATAAAGTTCTAGGAAATGCGAAGTGATCTATGCTGGCAGAAAGCAGATCAGTGGTTGTCTAGAGATGACCAGCAGGGCAGAGACTGGGAGGGGAGGAGCAGGAAGTTGGGACAATGAAGAGGAACAATGAAACTTTTGGAGGTGAAGGGTAAGTTCTTGATTGTGTCAATTGTTGTGTAGGTGTATGCTTATGTCAAAACTGATCAAGTTGTGCAGTTTAAATACATTCAATTTATCAAATATCAATCATGCCTCAATAAAGCTATTTTTAAAAATAATTTTTGTTAAAAAGAATGTGATGGGGCACCTGGGTGGCTCAGTTGGTTAAGCATCCAACTTCAAATCAGGTCATGGTCTCATGGTTCATGGGTTCAAGCCCCACATCAGGCTCCATGCTGGCAGTGTGGAGCCTGCTTGGGATTCTCTCTCTCTCCCTCTCTCTGCCCCTCCCCAGCTTGCTCTCTCTTTCTCCCTCTCAAAGTACATAAATAAACTTTTAAAATTAATTAATTAATTTAAAAATGTGGGGGGAAATGTGGTAAAGCTCCATGTACTTACAAGGAAATAGCAGTTATCATGTGAGGAATATATGGGATTTTCATGGTCTCAAAATTTTAACATTATATTTAAATATTTAAAACTTCATAACATGATTCTTTACAATGAGGAGAAAGAGGGAGAATCATCCCCTGTGGAGTCTTTCTTACATGGAGCACAAGAATGTCAGGGTGGAGGAAGGAGGAGAGATATTAAGGTACAAGTATTTTGGAAAAAAAAAAAAACCTCTCAGTCTTGACAGACACTGCCTTTTCTCCACTCCTCTTTGAGGATTTAAGGAGGAATGGATCAGAATAGGACAGGATGGAAGAAATGCTTAGGAAGGTAGACATGCCCAGGAGAATGGAGGGGGCAATCCAGAGTCCATAGCAACAGTCTAAGAGCAGGTGGTAAATAATTCAAGGAGGGTATGGCTGTGAGACTGAAGCAGAAGGTTGTGGAAGTCAATAAGAAGGACAGAGCAATAGCATGTGTTGAAAGCGTATATGTGGAGGGGAGAAGATGTGGGCAGGAAAGAGGGAATGGTGGTAAACAGTAGTTCAGGATACCTCTGGGCACTAGGCAACTGAAAAAATGGCGGCACCACTAACAGAAGAAAAAACGATCTAGGTGAGAAACCAAACTGGGGAAATACAGAAAAGTGATTAAATATTACTTACTTTTAGGGGTGCCTGGGTGGCTCAGCCAGTTAAGCATCCTACTCTTGATTTCAGCTCAGGTCATGATCTCATGGTTCGTGTGATTGAGACCCACATCAGGCCTGCTTGGGATTCTCTCCCCCTCTCTCTCTGTCCCTACCCCATTCTCTCTCCCTCCCTCTCTCTTTCAAAATAAATAAATAAACATTTTTAAAAGATGTTATTTAGTTTTACCCCTCAGTTCACTGATGAGAAAACTATAAACTGGAGAGTAAAGTGACCTGCCCCAAGTGACACAGCCAACCGCAGAACTCATGACTCCTAGGCCAGTTTTCCAGGCTGCTTCCCTATAACAACACATCTCCCACTTGAGGAGTCTGAAGGATGATAGGCATCCAGGTGGTAGTGTCCTTCCAGCAATTAGAACAGTCAGTGTAGAGCCTGGGACAGCTTGGGAGCTGGAAATATTGATTAAGGAGCCAGAAGTTGGCTGAAGCGGCAACAGCAAATGAGATAAAAGGTTTTCTATCCATTTCCATTAACTTTCCCTCTTTAGATGTATTATCCACTTCTATGTCCTGCTTTCTACTCAAATCAAATCTGCCTTGGAACCAGCACCTCTTCCTGACTTTACTGACTTCATTATCCCAGTGTCAAAGACTAGAACCCTAGGAGACTTGCCTGGCTCCTCTGCCCTCTCTACTTCCTGCCTTCATGCTCTCATTATGCCAAAGTTTTCCTTTGAAATGACATCCATTGCCTCCTTTCCCACCAACACCATCCAAACCAGGCTTTGACTCCATAATCTTGAATTTCTACAATAGCTTGCCAACTGGCTTTCCCAAGCAAGGTGTGGAAATAAAGCCAATACATGAAAGAAACAGAGACAGACAAGTCACAGGAGCATGTTGGCCATGGAGACAGGAGACAAGCGGTGTCGGCAGGCAGACAGATCCAAAATGTCAGATGCCACAGAGAAGTGAGGGGCAGCAAGGACTGGGGCATGGAGACAGGATTTGGTTAGTGCAGGCTACAAGTGGCCTGGAGAGAGAAAGCAGAGGGCAGAACCTGGCTGCAGACAGGACAGGGGCCAATGTGTCCTGAGGGGAATGGAAGCAGCAGACCTGAATCATCTGTCCCTGAAGTTTGGGCAGCGAAGGCAGACAGACAGACAGACAGACAGACAGACAGTTGTTCCACAGTACGATCAAGTTTCCAAATGTTTGTTTCTATCTGGTTTTCAAAATGGAGCTAGCTGTGCAGACTTGAGAGACAACTGAAAGAATAAGAGGGAGTTAGAAAATTCTGAAGCAGGAAAACTATCAGAGTCACTCAGAAACTGGAAGGGTGGGTGGCTCTCCCTGTTGCAGTGATCAGCCAGCATCCTGAGGGTTGGTCTGCATAGAGGAAGCTGGTAGAAGATATTTGGGCCTCAAATCGTGATTCCCAGCCCTCAGCCCATACAGCACAGGAAATTTCTAACACAAAGCTGCTTCCTTTGTCACACTATTTTCTGTTTAGAGTAAGCATAGGAAGTAATCTGTCCTGTTCTTTTAACAATTCCAAGGGAACGCCAAAACATCCCCTGGTCTTGGCCTTGTTCAATATACAGTTGTGACAGAACCAACGTTCTTCCTGACCTCTACTCTTAATCTTTCCTGCTCCAACTGAAGCAAATTCCCTCTCATCCTGTCTTCGGGGCAAGCCTGTGATGGCCAAAAAGCCTGCCGGGATGAGGAAATCTGCAGCAGGTAAAGTAACATGGATTTCCTCCAGATCCTAAGGAAGTTGTCATTGACTGTACACCCATGTTACCTGCCAACCTTGCCTATCCTAAAAAGATAGGGGCACTCAAAAAGATTAAAGAACATTCAAATACATGCCAATTTCCACTGACATTGTAAGAGAAAGACCTCTTTAGTCATCTCAAAGATTCAGGTCCAAGGAAGCCAGAAGGAATTCTGCAGCTAATAAACTAAAGCCTATCTTAAGCTAGCCAAGAAGAGTTACATATGCTTAAGAAGTCACCAGACATATAATCCAATCAGCCCCAGGAGCCTCTCTGTGTCACCAAGTGGACTCAAGGAAGAGTAAAGTTTCCTCTCTGATGCCATCTCGAGAGGCTAAGGAGGATCTGCCAAGCATCCCTTGGGGATATGTCTTGTAGCAAGTGACAAGAAGGAAATCAAGATGTGGAAAAGAAAGCAAGAAACATGTTGGGATGAAGAAGGAATAAAAACAAAATGGAAGAAAGATGGTGATAAGAAGACAACAAAAAAGGAGAGAGAAAGAGATGGAGAGAGATGGAGAGCAAGGGAGAGAATCTCTGCTGTTCACTTAAAACAGGGGTCTGATAAATAAAGTTTTATTCCAACACAGCCATGCCCATTCATATAATTAGTGTGTATGGCTGCTTTTGTGTTATAGCAGCAGAGCTGAGGAGTTGTGACAGACACCATATGGTCTGCAAAGTTGGAAATATTTACTATCTGGCCTTTTACAATAAAAGTTTTGCTGACTCCTGACTTAGAGTAATAAAGAATGTCATAATTTCCTCTAATACTAGTAAACTCTTTGTGGTTCTTCAACTGTTCTTAATGCTTAAAGTTATCTTCAGAAACTATTATCCTGGAAGAAAAAAAGGGCTGGAGCCAAGCAATGGGAAAATTATTCAGAATTGTAGCTTAGAGAGTGACCAAAGCAAATTACATTAAGGTACAAAAGAAATTGCAAAGCTGAAGAACAAATCTGACTCTCAAAAGACAGTTATGGATGGGAAATGTGTGTGTGTGTGTGTGTGTGTGTGTGTGTATGTGTGTGTGCATGAGTGTGTGTGTGAGAGAGCAAGAGAGAGATACAATTTTAGTACTGCTAAATACTAATTAGAAATCTATATACAGAAATATATGTGTGTATATTTCTAAGTATAATGTTTCTGTATATACATTTTTTTCCAATTAGTATTTAGCAGTACACAACTCACAACTGTTTCATGGTGTAAAAGTTGGTATAGTATGGTGCCCAAGGGAATTAAAGGAGTTTATCAATAGAATACAGGAATAATAATAATATAAAATTAAAATATGGATAACAGGTGAATTTAGGGAAAGAAAATGGTTTAAATGTTTCCCTTATCATCAAGGGCGCCTGGGTGGCGCAGTCGGTTAAGCGTCCGACTTCAGCCAGGTCACGATCTTGCGGTCCGTGAGTTCGAGCCCCGCGTCGGGCTCTGGGCTGACAGCTCAGAGCCTGGAGCCTGTTTCCGATTCTGTGTCTCCCTCTCTCTCTGCCCCTCCCCCGTTCATGCTCTGTCTCTCTCTGTCCCAAAAATAAATAAATGTTGAAAAATAAAATTAAAAAAAAATGTTTCCCTTATCATCTTTTTATATGACATGAGGGGACAAGTGTGAAAGTGGCGTTTTTTATATCTCTACCCAAGATGCTTGATAACATGAGGCTGAGGAAGACGAAGGCAGCGAGTAAAGGATGAAAGCCACCTCACAGAATGTGAAACAGGATCATGTAGGCTGTGCTGGACTTTCTGCAGAGACATTAAAGAGCCAAATAAAAACCCCATGTCTCCTCCATTTGGTGTATATTTTTCCAATCTTATCTTCTTCAAATTACTCCTTTCCATACCCTCCAAAGTCATCCCATTCTATCTTGTCCTGCCTACACATACACTCACACTCCATCTCTTGTACAAGATTCTACTTTTCTTTCTCTACCCAGCAATCCCTGCCCTGTCCCCATCCCTAGCTTTCTACTCAAAGGCACAGACACTGCTGGTTATCTACCCCCAAAGTCATGCCTCCTTACTAAGAGAATTGCCATATTATTCAGAAGAGCAATGTGCCCAGCGAAAATGCTCCCTGCCCCAACTCCTTTATACCTGGGGCGCCATGTAACCCATTTCTTGTTATGAGACACGACTCTGAGAGTCAGGTTGGGAGTTGGGGAAAATGTTTTCCCTCTTCATATGGACCCTGCCTTTCCCTCACACATGCTTCTCCTTTCTCTCTTCTCCTTTTGTTCCTTCATTCTTTTCTTCTTTCTCCTGCATGGTCCACAAACAGGAGGCTGGAAGTAGAGTAACCATCTTGGGAGCAGAAGACAACAAAGCCACAAGCTAAGGATCATGGAGCAGAAGGAGGAAAGGAGCCTAGAACGCTGATGCCACCTTGGAGCTCCTGCAAAGACTTGGACTTCTTGGTATGTGAGAATATTATGCCTCCATTTAGTTAAAGCCCTACAGGTTCAGGTGATGAATAGCCTAATGCAACTCTTTGTCACACCCATACTACTCCTTCCACCTGGAAAGTTGCTTTCTCCTCACCGCATAGCCAGTATTTGATGTCCTTTTGCTTTCTTCAAAGCCCACCCTAAATCCCACCTCCTTTTGGAAGGCATTCTATGACATCTCAAAATTGATCTCCCATTCTCTCACAGTCACATAGGGCACAACTGAAATCATTAAAATAGCATGGATGTGTCAAGCCTGCTCCATGTCATAAATACATATATATGTTTATTCACACACACCCCTGCTAGGTTGAGAGCTGCTAAGGGCAAGGATCCTATGTCACTAATTCTGAATGCCCTGCAGCACCCAGCACATTGCCCAGAGCAGTCACTCAATAAAGGGTTGTTTACTTTGATTGGAGAAATGCTCCTTCCTTCCCAAGTGTATATTATGGATCAGTTTAAAACACCTGGTTTCCATGTAGATGGGGCGAGAAAGTTGCCAAATGGGAAAAGACTTTAGAAATCTTAGTCATATTTTCACCATGTTTTGACAGTTTTGAAACTGTGCAGCCTATTGCTGACTGATGGCCCAGATGTATTAAAAAAAGGTAAAAGGAGGGACAGAAATGAGATGATATTTAAAGCAAGACTGGACCTATATACAATCAAAATAGTATGCTGGTTTCACCAAACTCAACTTCAAACCAGCATCTGCTGAAGGTAGACTCCTATCCAATGTATTGCATTATAATTCCAGCTACACTTCTACTGCTTATTTATTTAATTTCTCTTGTTTAACTAAATTTTTTTAAACATCTACTATGTGCCAAGCCTGGAATAACCAGTCATCCTAGTTTGCCTGTGAAATAGGGGTTTCCTGAGATGCAGGATTTTTTAGTGCTAAAACCAGAGTCCCAGGCAAACCAAGATGGTCAGATTCCCCCAAAGATCTGTGTTTGATATTGGATATAAAGCAGTGAGGAAGACAGATATAGTCCCTGCTCATAAGGATCTCTACAATCTAGTGGGCTTTTCTTTGGTAAGGGCCTGGGGGGGTGGGGTCCCCAGTAATTACAGATAGGTTTTCATCCTTTATACTTTCAAGTCATTCATGTTAGATTCTATTACACAGTAATCAAGTCCATCCAACACTTTCAGGTGCTAACACACAAATCTCCCAGCACAGCTGGCTGTCCATGTGGAAGGAAGATGAAGAACTTTGGAATAGGAGAGTAAGCAGAAGTTCAGTTCATGAATGTGGCCATTGTTCTGACGGCTGTGAATTCCAACCAACTTTAATCACAGCCTGAGCCAGTTGTCTGTTGTTCTTGGATCAGCAGGCATACTCTATCTTTGGGTTCTCAGCCCTCTTTGTGACACTAATTTTGACCTGTTGGGTGGAACAGTGCTCTCTTTGGAAAGGGCCAGGAGATCTGAACCTTTCCTAAGAGAATATGGAAGTAATCTGACTGTTGTGTCTGCTGATGTGGCCATCACAGCTAGCTGGGCATGACTTTTTTTCCATCATTGTTCCATATGCATTCCTCCTATAGCTGGATACTGGGTTAAAGAGAAAAACTCTTCCATTCTTGAGTCAAGGGCATATGGATGACTTAATTTACCTCATAAAAAAGTAAACCCTTCTTCCAGATTGGGGGTATGAGCTTCACAACCTGATGGTCCTATCCCCCATAGTTACCACCCACTCAATAAGGCTGAAAGTCCTGGTTCCTCCATTCCAAGAATCAATGGACTACTTCTATCTCTGCAGGGGATTTTTTTTTCCTTCAATCCCCAGACTTCATTTCTGCTTGGCTTTAATAACAACCATAAATTGGTTTTCTACAATTGCTAGATATTTTACATGCTAGATATTTTTATATCTATTATCCTATTTAAACTGCACAACAACGCAAAGTAGATATTGTTATTCCCACTTCGAGATGAGGCACAGAAAGTTTAGGGAACTTTCCCTGGGTCACATATTTTACAGTTGAATTTGAGTCCTACTCTGTCAGACTCTTCTGAAAGTTGGTTTGATGACCTGAAAAGGAACAGAATCTGTATACTTGAAGATAAGTGTGAGAAGAACTTCAGGAAGAGAAGCAATTTTGTGTCTGTTGACTTCTAAATCTTGCTTGGGGAGGGGGTGGGTAGGACAAGGGATGCGGCAAATCAGGGGAAGGCTAGACAAAAGCCTTGGTCTACTGCTCTGCATGAGCTCAAACATAAACTTAGTTTATAACTATATATGAGTTTGTGCTTCGAAGCAGTGAGGAATTAATTTAAAAACTGCCTAAGAAGGTTTTTTAAGGGCATTTTTTCTTTTTTTTTTTTTAATTTTTTTTTCAATGTTTATTTATTTTTGGGACAGAGAGAGACAGAGCATGAACGGGGGAGGGGCAGAGAGAGAGGGAGACACAGAATCGGAAACAGGCTCCAGGCTCCGAGCCATCAGCCCAGAGCCTGACGCGGGGCTCAAACTCACGGACCGCGAGATCGTGACCTGGCTGAAGTCGGGCGCTTAACCGACTGCGCCACCCAGGCGCCCCTAAGGGCATTTTTTCAACAAACAAAGCTAAAATGCTTAATTTCATTTCCATGGAACTTTTTATGCCAAAGATGCTTTAAGTGGCCTAGAATTATCCTTTGGAAAGATACACATCAGAGAAGTTAGGGAGTCCGATTTTTGTTATACCTCCTAGTCAGCTTTATCATTGAGGCACAGCCCCGAGGGTCTCAGAGCCTGACTACATCACTACCCATACTATCCATGGACACAGTGGGGGGATGGTGCAGGGATCCCAGAATGAACATTTACAAATGAGGAAAGTTATGCCTAGAGCCATGTATCCCCAGTGTCTTGCAAAACACCTGATTAATAGCAGGTGCTCCATAATTTTATTGAATAAATGAATCAGTGAGCAAATAAATAAGTTAAGTAATTTTTCAGAAGGTCACACAGCAGGGACAAAACTCCAATGTCCTAAATCTTAACTCCATCCTTGATTTATTTACATCATCCTTTGGGTGATCCTGGCCAACTTTAAAGTGGATATTTGGAGTCAAAATGAATAGGGCACTGTGCCTGACTTAAGCAATATCAAAGATGTAATTAGAGATGTGGAAAAGATGAAGTTGGTGAAGATCTCCTGTAATCTAAATGCCAGGACCGTTCAGTGTGGTTGGTTTGATTTCTAATGAGCATCTGCTCCCCTTCACCAATCCCTTTACACTTTCATACAATGCGCAGTTCATATTACAAAGTCAACAGTTCTTTATCATCTGTGTGGTCATTCACCCTGTTCTTGTCTCTCCCTGGTAATTGTTTAACCTGGCTTCCCCACCACATTTCTTGGCTGCCTGCTCCCTTCTGCCCTTGTCAGTCAGGTTGTACTCAGGGAAAGTAAAGGCATAGAAAGAATTTCAAAGTCAATTAAAACTGATTAGGTGTTTATCTACTGCTTTGGATTATCTCCATGCTCTGTGTAGACAGATAGCATAGGCTGGGTAAACAACCAGCCACAGATTAGGGAATCTTCTAAGATTTGTATTCAGCTTCCCCCTATCTATCATAAGAGAGGGGTGAGGAGTATGGATGCCCATAGGATACATTTTTAAAAACCAAGGTATAGGGGAGTCCAGGTGGCTCAGTCAGTTAAGTATCTGACTTTGGCTCAAGTCATGATCTCGCAGTTCATGAGTTGGAACCCCGCATTGGGCTCTGTGCTGACAGCTCAGAGCCTGGAGCCTACTTCGGATTCTGTGTCTCCCTCTCTCTGCCCCTCCTCCACTTGTACTCTGTCTCTTTCTCAGTCTCTCTCTCCCTCTCAAAAATAAACATTAAATTTTTTTTTAAAAATCAAGGTATAACTTATACGTGTTCTAACTGTACACTTTAATGAGTTTTAAGGTGTGCAAACATTGCCATAATCAAGACAAAGAACATTTCCAGCATCCCAAAACATTTTCATGTGTCCCATCTCAGTTAATCTTCCCCTACCTTCGCCCAGGCAACCACCAATCTGCTTTCTGTCACTATAGATTAGATTTGTCTCTTCTAGGGTTTTCATATAAATGGAATCATAGAGTATGTACTCACTAAAGTTATTTTTACTAGACTTTGGAATAGCTTCTCTGATTTCCTTCCCAAGTGATGTCTGGTTCAGGCTGATATTAAAATGAGTTCATGTTCCCTACACCCACAGTGATTTGACAGGGTGGGCAGAGCTAGGATGTGGAAGAAATCTGAGAGGTAAGTGGAGGCTGATGAGAAAATACTTGGCAATGAGAAGAACGTTGGCTTTTCACAGCATTGGTAGAAAATGACAAAGAGCGTGTGCCCACTTTGTGCCCTGAACCTATTTTCAATGTCACACAATACAGCTTGTCTTAAACCTAACTGCCTAGGAATTTTGTGTTCTTTGCCTTGAATGGGCACTTTATTTGGAAACTCCAGACTCCAGCCAGCCCCTCTCAGCAACGGAGTCATTGCACCCTCTGGTGTAAACCTGGGGATCTGTCACCCCTGTGGCATAAGGCATTCCCACCTACACAGCCATATATCTATCACCCGCTGCAGCCCTCCCCTGCCTTCAGGTTTCCCTGACCCCCTCAAGCAGGGAAGTATCAGACTCCCTCCCAGCTGCTGTTAGGTTCATGGGTCAGAGGCGGAGCTTGTGAACACGTGAACATAGAGGAATACCAAGAGACTGCTTGAGAGAAGACAGGGACAGAGAGAAGAAAGGAAACCCCAGAGAAGACAGAGCAAGCTAGACTTGAAAGATGAAGAGGTAAAGGGCAGAGGCACAACCCATACAACAAAGCAGGAAGCAATAGACAATAGACGGATGGATTTTTTTTTTTTCCACCTAAGAGAAATCCTAAAAATTCATTCCTCTGTCCAAAATACACAGATTCAGACCCAGGCTATGAGAATCCTTGAAAAGTGGATTTTAACATGGAAATACTGATAAATCTTTCAAACAACCTGTACACCCCCCAGGTACTGCTGGACCTGCTTAATCCCTTTAAACCTCCAATAACTCCAAGTATGGTGTTTAAAGTCTCATAAATCTGCACCAGCTTAAAATAGGGAAATATAAATCATGTTCAGGAGCTTAGGGGTAGGGACAGAAGATGGGCACCGTAATGCCATTTAAAACCACAGCATAGGCTTTTCATCAAATTATTCCAAGAAAAGCTGAAATGGAAAACGCTCAGGTTTCTGAGTTGTGGTTCCATACGTTCTCAATTTGTTCTTTTTCCTTCTTTTCAGGGGGCAGGGTGGAGTGTGAGGGAGTGTAGATGGGCTGTGTAACTGGAGGGAAAAAAAACTGCAAAGACCTGTCTCGCTTAGTCCTATTTTTACACAAAACAAAACCCAAAACAAACAACAACAATTTTTTAAAACTACTGCCAGAAGTCATTAGAAAACAGCACTATTTCTAGTAAGGCACCAACAAAAATGATGTCTGGTTTTTGTTAAATGGATTAATTCATGCCAGAAAGTAAAAATTGTGGATACTATTCTACTAGTAAGAGCTGATTTTTCTTTTTCATTTTATTATATGCCAGGCACCTTCTGTGTGAAGAAATTTGGGTATACCATCTGATTTCATCCTCACAGCAGCCCCATGAAAAATATTATTCTCTCTGCTTCAGAGATGAGGAAACTGAGATTCAGATTGTTTAAGTACCTTGCCCAAAGCCACACTGCTGCTAAATGATGGAGCAAAAATTCAAACCCAAGGTTCGCTTTGGAAACCCCGTCTTCTTCAGGATGCCACCTCCTTTGGTGGTGTCATGGACCCAGCCCACAGACCACCTGGAGGAATCCCAAATGTCATCCTCTGAGAATTGATGTGCTTTCATCTCTCTCTGGACCTGGTCCAATGACCTTTTCAAACCCCGAAATCTTAGAAAAGTCTGCTCTGTTAACTGAATCTTTACCCAAAGTTCAGACCATCTAGAGAAAATCACAGTCCCTTGCTTGTGTTGCTTTCTTCAAATCCCAGTTTTCCTGCACTGAGATACTACCAAGAGATCCTGGGAAAACCTCTGAACTCTAGACTCCTCACTATTAAATAAGGATCTAGGGGCACCTGGGTGGTTCTGTCCGTTAAGCATCTGACTTTGGCTCAGGTCACAATCTCACGGTTTGTGGGTTCGAGCCCTATATCAGCCTCTGTGCTAATAGTTCAGAGCCTGGAGCCTGCTTTGAATTCTGTGTCTCCTTCTCTCTCTGCCTGTCCCCCGCTCATTCTCTCTCTCTCTCTCTCTCTCTCTCTCTCTCTCTCTCTCTCTCTCTCAAAAATAAATACACATTAAAAAAATAAAAGATTAAATAAGGATCTAGAAGACTACCTCCTGGGATGTTGTGAGGATTAATGTATAGGAACACAGTCTGGAGACTGCAAAAGCCAGGAAATTTCTGGGTCTTATGATGATTATGGTACTTTACATATATACTAAGGAGTAACAGCCCCACCAAAGTCTAGCTTCACAGGGAAGAGAGAAGACATAAGACATTTCAACCACTGGGATGGAAGTCAGAACTCATTTCAAAACACTCATGATTGAAAGACATGAGTTTGGAAGAAGGAAAATACGTGTCTCTCTACCATTACTTCCCAAAATGTTTTCAGTGGGGTATTAATAGATGTTTCCTCAAAAGGTCTATTGTCAGAGAGATTTGGAAAACACCATCTCTCAGAGATCACAATGCACCTTGTCTTATTAAAGATCCTGAGAAGTCTTACCATAAAATAGTCTCTGCTTAACTCAGCAATTCCTAAACATGTGACCTCAGGAACTTGATTTTTGGGTCTCCTATTAAGCATCTCCCAAAACACCAGGGAACACAGTTCAAGAGATGCCACTGTCAATAAAGATGGCTCGCCTCATCCCCCATCAGTACAGCATCTCAGTCACTCTTTCCATGGTGATCACCTTCCACTTAACAGTGAGGAAATTGAGAAGATCACAATGAGAGATTCCCCAATGCCTGTGAACATGTTTGCACAATACCAGGCCTGCACAGATGACAGTACATACAACACACCCATAGGTCTCTGGGTGCCGGCCCCACTCCCTTAGATGAGAAGAGAGGAATAAGAGGAATGGTATCTCTCATTTAGCAGCTCTCTGGCAATGTGTGTGCCATGATGCTAACTTATCATGGAGAATTGTCTTAGTTTGGGATCCTCCAGAAGCTGACCTTGAAACAAAGATTTGAGAGCAAGTCGTTTATTTGGGATTTAATCCAAGGAAATACCAGCAAGAGCGTGAGGAAATGAGTCAGGGTGGGGAAGACAGCCAATAAAAAGTGAATTATTAAGCCAACTATACAGTGGACAACCACAGCTTAATCCTGCTGGGGAACAATGCAAAACACATACCTCGGAATTATCCCACCCAAGGGATGAGGTTGCTGGGATAGTTACACATCATCTCCCATCACTTATTGGTTGAAAGATGCTCTAGGGGACAGGGGACAGTTAATCTCTCAGAATGTCTGAACTGCCATGTACCTCAGGCCTAGTGACCTTCCAGGTTTCCATATGAAGTCCTCAAGCACCAAGATGCAGATACTGGCAGTAGGAAGAAGGAACACACTGAAATGGTAAGGCCTGAGGGATATGGGTCTGCTTCTGTGTCTCTTATGAGCTTGAGTCCATAGTGCCAGGCCAAGAAAATACCTTCTCTTTCCTATGATTCAGTGTCTCTCAGACTTTTTTTCTGGCTCCACATCACTAATATTTCTCATTACAAGCAGTGACTCTCAAAAGCCAAGGTAGAAGGAAGCTGCCTTCCCTTAGAGGTGGTACATGAGAATCTGTCTTGTTACTGGCAATAACCCTCTACTCCTACATTTTTTAGAGTTCCCAAGGGAAATCTCTTGTGCACTCAAAAGGTGTTCTCTTGTTTTTCATCTCCCTCCCCACGTATTTTTTCTGTGACCACACTGATGTCTGTGTCTGGGCCAATGCTGGTGGTTCTAGGAGCTCCTAGAGCCACAAACTCCCACAGAACCAGTGGCCATATACTACCCAGAGTCTTCCCGGGTTAAAACCTTACTGAGTCTATGTGAAGTGGGGAAAAGGGCCTTTTGTAACTGCATAGAACACTTTCCCCCATTGGTACCACTGTAGCACCTCTATTTATGTTCCTCTGTTCACAACATCAATTGTGAGATCATATTCATCAGATACTTCTTGAGTTGCTAGAAAGTGGCTCATCATAAATACCCAGGAGAGACACTATGCTCCCTCCTGATTTCCCCCTTTTTCCCCAGGTACTTGAACCCTCTTCCTTTAGCTAAATCAGCCCCTGTCATACCTGCTCGCTTTTCTTTGGGGAGATATGAATCTCCTTTGGGTTCCATAACAGACAACTAGTCATATTCTACATGTGTGGTACTTAAGTGAGAGAACCACTCACTGGAAATTAAAATTTTTCTTCTATCTTTTGTTATACCTGTGAGCCCAAATGGATGATGAGGTATTTATGAGACTTCAGCTAGGTCTTAAAGTTTATTCCCATTATAGATAAAAAGAGATACTGACCCTTCTAGGAAAACCTAATGGATCCAAGGATCTCAGAGATCAAAGGAGGAAGTTAAGTTTATGCACAAGTGATATAAAATCTAAAACACAATTTCTAGAATGAAACATAGGAGAAAAATTTTTGCAACCTTAGGGTAGGCAAAGATGTCTTAGTATACAGAAAACATGAACAATAGAAAAGTGAGTTGATAAATTTTATCTAACCAAAAAACATTTTTTAAATGTTTATTTATTTTTACCCTGTTGTAATTTTCTTTTTTTTATATGAAATTTATTGTCAAATTGGCTTCCATACAACACCCAGTGCTCATCCCAACAGGTGCCCTCCTCAATGCCCATCACCCACTTTCCCCTCCCCCCCCCATCAACCCTCAGTTTATTCTTAGTATTTAAGAGTCTCTTACGGTTTGTCTCCTTCCCTCTCTGTAACTTTTTTCTTCCCCCTTCTCCTCCCCCCTGGTCTTGTGTTGAGTTTCTCAGGATCCAGATATGAGTGAAAACATATAGTATCTGTCTTTCTCTGCCTGACTTATTTCACTTAGCATAATACTCTTCAGTTCCATCCACATTGCTACAAATGGCCAGATTTCATTCTTTCTCATTGCCAAGTAGTATTCCATTGTATATATAAACCACATCTTCTTTATCCATTCGTCAGTTGATGGACATTTAGGCTCTTTCCATAATTTGGCTCTTGTCAAAAGTGCTGCTATAAACATTGGGGTACAAGTGCCCCTATGCATCAGCACTCCTGTATCCCTTGGGTAAATTCCTAGCAGTGCTATTGCTGGGTCATAGGGTAGATCGATTTTTAATTTTTTGAGGAACTTCCACACTGTTTCCCAGAGTGGTGGCACCAGTTTGCATTCCCACCCATTTCTCCACATCCTCGCCAGCATCTATAGTCTCCTGATTTGTTCATTTTAGCCGCTCTGACCGGCGTGAGGTGGTATCTCAGTATGGTTTTGATTTGTATTTCCCTGATGAGGAGTGACATTGAGCATCTTTTAATACGCCTGTTGGCCATCTGGATGTCTTCTTTAGAAAAGTGTCTATTCATGTCTTCTGCCCATTTCTTCACTGGGTTATTTGTTTTTCAGGTGTGGAGTTTGGTGAGTTCTTTATAGATTTTGGATACTAGCCCTTTATCCAATATGTCATTTGCAAATATATTTTCCCATTCCATCAGTTGCCTTTTATTTTTGTTGATTATTTCCTTTGCAGTGCAGAAGCTTTTTATCTTGATGAGGTCCCAATAGTTCAATTTTGCTTTTAATTCCCTTGCCTTTGGAAATTTCAAGTAAGAAATTGCTGTGGCTGAGGTCAGAGAAGTTTTTTCCTGCTTTCTCCTCTAGGATTTTGATGGTTTCCTGTCTCACATTTAGGTCCTTCAACCATTTTGAGTTTATTCCAAAAAACATTTTTAATGTTTATTTTTGAGAGAGTGCGCACGCGCGAGAGAGAGCACACAAGTCAGGGAGGGGTAGAAGAGAGAGAGACACAGAATCCTAAGCAGGCCCTAGGCTCTGAGCTCTCAGCTGCTGGCACAGAGCCCAATGCGGGGCTCGAACTCACAGAGTACAAGATCATGGCCTGAGCCGAGGTCAGACAATTAACCAACTGAGACACCCAGGAGCCCCGTAGCCAAAATTTTTAAATGTTGCTCTTTGAAAGACATTGTTAAAAAAAAAAATGAAAAGTTATGCCACAGAATGGGAGAAATTATTTGCAATACACAAATCTGCCAAAGGACTTATATCCAGAATAAATAAAGAACTCTTACAACTCAATAATAAAAATACAAACAAAACAATTTTACTAGGTGCAAAAATTCAAAGTGACAGTTCACCAAGGAAGATATATGAATGGCCAACAAGCACCAAAGAAATCCTTAACATCATTACTTGGTATTGTGCACTGGTCATTGTACTAGTTAAAACCACAATGAAATACCATTCAAATGGTAAAAATTTAAAAAGACTGACTGTATAAACTGTTGGCAAGAATGTGGACCAGCTGGAACTCTCCTACAGTGCTGTTAAGAGTGAAAATTGTACAACCCCTTTGAAAAAGAGAGTGTCGGTTTTTAAAATGTGAAACATACCTGTCATTTGATCCAGCCATTGAACTCCTATTTATCCCAAAGAGTTAAAACAAACACAAAAGTTTATACGTGAATATTCACAGCAGCTTTAATCATCACAGCCCCAAATAGAAAATAGTTTAAATATTTCTCAACAAGTGAATAAAGAAAATGTCATACATTCACACGAGGGAATACCATTCAGCAAAAAACAAAACAAACAAAAAAAAAAAAAACAAAAAAAAAAACCCCACAAATTATTGATATGCCACTAAGATGAATGAATCTCAAAATAATTATACTCAGTGGGGGGGAAAAGAGCCAGACACAAAAGAGTATTTACTGTAAATCCAATTTACACAGAATTCTGGAAAATGCAAACTTCCCTATAGTAACAAAAGGCAGATCAGTGGATCCATGGGGCTAGGGGCAGAGGGAAAGGTGGACTGCAAACATGTACAAGGAAGGTTTGGGAGATGATGGAAATGTTCTATACGTTGATTGTGCTGGTGATGTC